GCTAACTTTAACCTGCCAAAGTCCAAAACGAATTCCTCTACGGCAAATTCTGTCCTAATTCACGTACACGCTTAGTGAAGACGAAATCTGTCGAAAAGTTCAACTCACGGACTTTCTTCCTCAAGTTATCAAAATTCCTACGGCCTTTGGGCTTCACAGTTACATTTGAACCCCGATAACTCGAACATTCCCAAGTACTTTATAGTTCAGAATGTCCCCCTACGTCGAATTTTTTAAAGTTTCTGTCTAAATTTCCTCAGGATCAATTCATTAAAAACGAACCCAACTCAAGGGCTTTCCCCCTCAAGCCTACATTCCGCAAAATTTCCCCAGGTCTTATGGCTATTATTCTATTGGCACCAGAAAAAAAAAGGTAATTATGTAAGGAAGCAATTACCGCATGTGTTTTTGAAAGGAATGGAGGACCAATTGGGCAAAAAACACCTTGCCACTGAATTCAGAATCTTTTGAACTCATTCAAGAAGCAATTACATGCCTAGAATATCACCACTTACAATTTCCTGTAATCCTTATCTTTTCTCCCAGATAAAAAAAATAACAGATTTCCTAATTTGAAACCTCCCTAATTTGATTTTTTTGTTCCTTGAAGTGTAACTTGGAAAGTTTCGACTTAATTAGTCAGGGACCAAGGAAATAATAAAGCAAAAGAAATCGTAATTTGTATGATTTTCAAAAAGAAGGGAGTTTGAAAAAGATTGGGCAAATCAACCCATTTTAAGAAGTTCAGCATGCTCCTTCCTTATTCACCCAGAAGTTCAACCCTCAAAATGATAGTTGCTTGAACATCAATACTGTACTGTATAATCAAACACAGCCATTCAAATTACAAATTTAAAATCTGCAAATCTCCAAACAAAGGTTCTTCCAATTCAAGATGTAGACTGATTTTTTTTCCTGACATAAGTGAGGAATAGGTCAACAGCACACGGTGTTCCCAGGCAATCTCCCTTCCAAGTACAGATGAACGTCTAAGTTGAATTTCAAGGGACCACGAAAAAAATTCAAATTACGGAGCTTTTCAGTTTTGCAGAATTATAGATGATAAAGCAAAAGAAATCGCAATTTGTATGATTTCAATAAGAAGGGAGTTTGAAAAAATTGGGCAAATCGACCCATACTAATTCTATATAGACTTATAAAATCAAGCATTTTAATTGTGGGAAACATGGAAAAATTGCACCAAATTATACACTATGATATTCTGGGCCTCAAGTTGCTTCTAAAATGAGTTGACAGGGCACTCAACTTGGAGACAAGGATTCATGTGCATTTGCCTAATTTAGTCTGTCACTTTCTGTCAAAGCACATCCAATTCCATTTTTCATTGTTTTTTTATTGTTGTTTGTATTCCAATACAATAATAACCTGCAGGCCTACGAAATTCGACTCATGGAGGTTTTAGAGGAAGAGCCTTCCAATTAGGGAGGTTTTAAATGCATTATTTCAGAAGGAATTTAGAGGGGCACTCAACGAAAATTTTAGTGACTTAGGGAGGTTTGACTTAGCAACGTTCAACTGTAATGCACTGTCCTAACGAGGCACATCGACACTTGATCGCCGTGATCAAACGAGATCCGGTCTTTTTTAACATGGTATGGCCCATGACATATGCTCCACGAGAAGGGAACACAATTTATTACCGAAAATTGTTTCCTCCGAAATACATTTAGCACTGCTTCCCAGGTGCACTCTTCGCAATTCCCAAAAATTTCGCAGTTCCCTGAGCCTGGAGGATCGCAATGTTCATGCCATGATATAGATTCAAGAAATATGAGAGCGAACTAAAGACGAGGGGTTTTCAATGCCTCTCTTCGCAAAAATGGGAGAAATAAAAGCTTCCCCAGAGGTCCAAAATATCGTTAGAAACTGAACCCGAAAATGTTCAAAACTCGAACTTTTCTCCGCCCATGTCTACATTTCTAATTGCCTATATAAAATGTTAGACCGGGATTCGGAGCTTTTCTCAATACTGTAAAAGAAAATATACTCGTGTAAGTCGAAAAATCACAAGAACAGAAAAAAGGTAATCCAATCATTTTTAACTAGAAGATTAAAAAACGGACAAACTGAAACAAAGTCGTTACGATTTTGAAATCCACATATTGTAGAAGGGAATAAAAAAGTCAACAGCACCCGGTGTTCCCAGGCGGTCTCCCATCCAAGTACTAACCGGGCCCAACGTTGCTTAACTGCTGTGATCGAACGAGAACGGGTGCTTTCAACGTGGTATGAAATTTCCATATTGTGTTGAAATACATTGATTGATATCAGTTTAAATTCGGAGACAATTTTTATTTTCATGGAATTATAGTGAGTATTTTGTACATTAAACACCAATTAAAATTTTCATAATGTAAGTCTAAGGGAAACTGAGACTCAACTTAGGAACATTTTGACTTAAGGAAACTCTTGATGCACCAATTATGTCTGCACCTCGGGGTCTCACTGTAATCTGGAAAGATACGGAGAAACCATATCGTCATCGCAGAGATTCATTATATCCCTCGACATGCATTGATATTCTCGAGCACAGTTGAATAATAATCCATTTCTGCGCCAATGACCGACTCGAGTTCAAATTAAAACCCGATTACTCGTACTAAAACACAATTTTATCGCTCCTAATCCGACAAAAAAAGAAACGGAACCAGGTTCTTCGCTTCTGTATATCACAACGATTAAAAATTCATCACATGAGTATGTGAATAAAAGTTTCTTCTCTTAAATGGATCGAACAACTGCAGGTCGGGAAAGGACCTAAGCATATATTTTTCCAATGATTCTCATGGGTACTGATGGCAATTTCATAAAACTTCGCAGGGAAATCGGCATTTCTTCGCAAATGGAAGCTTGAAATGTCTCTGGCATTGAAAAAATCTTGAATTTTTTTTTGAAAAAAAGCTACGTCGGACAAATATAAAAAATCGACACTGTTCCTGAATTATCCTGGAAATGAAGATGTGCAAGTAACGGTATTCTTTCATCGGTTTGAAGATACAGTATATTATTTCGAAAAATACAAAAGGCGTTTCGTGTCCGTTCTCTTTCCATAAAGGGAAAATAAACGATTAGCGTTTCTCACAGGTCCCACATACATATCGGTACAACCTAGACCCGAAGATGCTCGAAAATTGAAATTTAGTTCGTCGGTTACTTTGATTGAATAAAATCGCCTCTCAATGCAGAAAAACATTATTTTTGCATTCGAAGCTTTCCTCAATAAAATCGAAAATATTTGCTTTACTATAGCTTCTGACAGTACTGACACGGCAATAAAAGTACAGTGATCTGATAATTTTTGAATTAGACGAAAAAGGGGGAGAAACAAACTGAAAGAAGTGTACCTATTTCAAAAAGAAATACTGTACAGTAGGGGAAAAGAAAAAGTCAACAGCACCCGGTGTTCCCAGGCGGTCTCCCATCCAAGTACTAACCGGGCCCAACGTTGCTTAACTGCCGTGATCGAACGAGAACGGGTACTTTCGACGTGGTATGGCCGTTGACATCCAATAGCGAGAAAAAGAACGGACACTGGTAGCACTACTGCACCTAGTTGATCTGATTGATATTTTGAATTCATGCCAACTGTTTCCAGTTCCACAGACTTAGGTAATAGAAGGGGGTGGCTGGAATAACGTCGCCAGGCCCAACCTCGTCATTGAAAATCATTGAAATTGGAAGTTTGCTATGTCTGTTACGGGTGACCCTGAAATTAAAATGTATGTAATATAATCAGCCATTATTGAACGGATCAATTGAGGAAAACAGGTTTGATGCCGTTTGAGAATCATCCTCAAGGCTTGACATGAACACAGGACTTTCATTGGTTTGAAGAAACCTGAATACCAACAATTGGAAAGAAGTTTCTTCTTCATCTTCAGAAACGGGGAAAAAAACGCGTCCAAGGATCCCTTGGTCAGGAGAGGTCCCGCATATTTGAAAAAATTATTTTCTCTTGAGAACTTCTTCATCTTCCTCACTGTCCAATGGAATGAAAGAGCAAGGAACAAAAATTGTTTTTGTTGAACGGAACTTCCTCGTTATATAAATAAGACGCACTCCTTTTTCAGTTGTCGTGGGCCACAAGGGTCCGCCAGAGGGTAGGTTCATGATTGGCCCGGGTTGCAACGAATTGATGGCACTTCGGACGAGAACGGGTGTTTTCAACGTGGTATGGCCGTTGACATACACTGCCCCTCATATAACAGGCAATCATACCGCGATTACACGTATCACATTAAACGTATCCAGGCTATGCAAAAAGGATATTTATAGGTAGCTAAAATAACAGTTAACAAATACAGCACCAGGAGCTCTCCCTGTGTATAATTTCGAATCATTGTGCCAGAGCTCAACGGAATCTGTCCTAGCTTGCTAGGTTGATCAGACACTGTATCTAACGCTTGCTTCATACCCATATCTATCTCTTCAAGCAGCATTATAATTTCATTCACCACTTTTCTCATTACAGTAATCCTTGAAAAGTCCACTTGATTCCAAAGAAAAATCTTGAGTATAACTTATCGTATTGCTCGGCTTTATTCCTACCCTACGCTGCATACTGTACTGCTCTTCTAAAAACGGGGCTAAATCCCGGCACCTATACAGTGGAACATTTGCTGCGTGAAGACCTTCAGTAAGGCTGACCGTTTTCGTCAACCCCGCCTTATTTTTCGGTGAGAATCGCCACTTCATAAAAAAAACTAGACTTCCTCGAATAAAATGAGATGGCATTATTGACGATATCCAAACCGTAACTCACAGGAATCCGGGGTCGAACACTCTTCGATGAAAATTTCTCGAGTTTCCTCTCGCGACGTGAGATCGTTGTGTAGCCATTTGTCTCTCGGCGGAAAATCCGACTGCCAGATAATTTTCGAATGTCCTGCATCAGAAAAAGCCAGACAGTAGAAAGAACTGAGCGATAGCAGTAACAATTTACAAGACGAAAGCAAAAATAAGTAAAATAAAACAAGAAATTACAGAAAACCAAAAAACGCAGATTCACTCGACACGACAAACAACCGACTCACTGATGATCTCAGCACATTCTGAATGCCCCGCTTTCTCAGCCAGTTCTTCAGGCAACTCATCGTCTTTATTCCTCGGTCGTTTCGGACAACCCCGAGACAGCAGAGCTTTACAGCATTCAATATTGTTCGCTTGAGCGGCTTCATGCAAAGGCACTAGATCTACAATCATTTATTCCAGTATCAATTTCTTTCATCAGTATGAATTTGAGGGATGAATAAAAAAACGAAAAACTAGATGAAAATTACTTTCATAGGTTGATCGTAACCGTGGATCAGCTCCTTGATTCAATAAACGCACAACCATCTCATTCTCACTCCTTCTGCAGGCATACTGCACAAAACACAAATCAACCAAAGATTGAAATAAACACAAACGAACTAGAAAACATGCCAATCATCTGCTGAAAACAACTCAAGAACATGCAAGACTAGAATGCCCGGAAAATTGCTGAGCTGTGATGCAAGAATGCATGAGAATTAGTGATCATAGACGTCAAGAGAGATCAACAAGGAATGCTGGCAGCATCAAACAGAGTGGTACCCCGACAACAATTGGACTCAGAGTATTTTGAAATTCGAAAAGCATCTGCCCTTGCATTCGGACATTGACTTGAGATATAGACACATTTCTAGAAAACTTGAATAAAAAAGTCTTGGTCGACTTTGAAATCTCTTTGACAATTTGAGCTACAGAGTCTTCATCAAAATCAGGGTAATTTTTTTTCTAATTTTTTCGGAGTTATTTCCATCATGTGTGCGAAGCGTAGATAGACTTTTCAGTTTTCTTGCATCTTGAAGTCATAATTCTGATGACAAAAAATCAGATTCTGTGTGGGTTTCTTTTGAGCGGTTCTTTTCTTCATTTTCAAGTTGAGAAATTTGTCTTTAATTCCGGGAGACTTTTTCCGAATTTTTTGATCAACACGAGCACCAATCAAAAATAATCCCATTGTAGTCTAGCTTTAGGGGAAAAGTTGATCCGACATACGGACGTCCGAACACTCGGAAAGGGACCGACTACCAATTACGTCCGCATTTCGAGGCCCCATCGTAAAATGCAAAGATACAGCCTCATAATTTCATGAGCAACTTGCCAGGGGAACGGTGCAATTCAAGTCGCTACATCAACTTCCAGTGACATCTACCCACCATCGTAGCGAAACAAGTACAAAAACAATGTATGATAGGTAAACGCATTGCATATACGACAGGACTGCAGATTTCTCACGGCACAGTTTTTTTTTCAGGTCACTGAAAAAAAGGGATTGAAAATTAAGACGGGATTCTCACATGTAAAGGAGAGAAGCCCTTCGTATCAACAATATTTGGAGAAGCCCCAGAACTGAGCAGCAATTCAAGGGCTTCCAGGTGTCCATGATTGACAGCAATGTGCAACACTGTTTGTCCGTCCTGGTTTTTGGCGTCCAGATTATGGTAACCTGACTGAATGACTTCCCGGATTATCTCCAGATTTCCTGTGAAAAATTGCAATCATCAATCATCCATAGTCCATACAAATATCTGTCAACAAAATTTGCTTTGTTTTTCTGTGTAACCACGCCCTGTAGAAAGTCAGGTAGATGTCACCCAAATCCGCAAGCAAATGGAAAATATACAGGTGGACCCTCCACACAACATAATTCAAGGGAGAAGAACAAATTTGTTGTAGAGAGAGTTTCACTGTAGAGAACCCATATAATGGAAAGAGAAACCTATGGGATAAAACAGATTTTTTACACAGAGGAAAACATTGTAGACAAGATTGTTGTAGAGGGAGTCCACCTGCATTCTCATCCTGGGTTTCTCAACTGGTTGGTGGAGTTTTCCATGAAAATAATGTATAAACACAGCAAATTGGAATGAAATGAGATATCCTCAACATAACTTCATGCAATTGGTACACCATTTATTGTCAGCATTAAAAAAGACTTATTTGGTATTCAGTGATCTTGGATTCATCTTAAAATCTTTCTATACCATCTTAAAATCTTCTAAATACAATATCATAAATCTTCTTCTAATACCACCTTGAAATCTCCTTACACCATATTAAAATCTTATTCTCATCCTATCCAAGATGTTGGAGAGCAATAAAAAGGTACTTTATACCTATAAATAACTCATGTAACTTGGGGTACTGTAAGAACTTTGCTAAGGAGTTGAGCCAACAAGAAATTCTGTCCAAGTGCGTTAATAACATTCAAGTTACTCAGGACAAAAACCGAAAAAAGATTTGCCTCATAACGCCATGGGAATAGATTCAAGTCAAAACAATCACAAACAAACCAAATTTTTCGTCAGACCCGTCAACACACAACAAAATTCCAGCGTAACCTTTTCAATAGTGAAAAGAAAACCCAGTTGAGGACCTCGCGCGTTGGTTCAAACCAAGTGAACCTAAATGATGAAACTCTTTTATCACGACTACCACGTACCCTCTTTCGTTGATCGATGGAGTAAATTTGTTCTTCCATGTCTTCTCGTTTCTGCCGGCGGAGGCATTCCTGGCAATCGGAACTGCAAACAACATGGCAATCCTCCACGCCGCAATTGATACTGTTCTATCAACGCGTCCAAGCCGTGAACAACAGGTCCACCATCTACAAAGAAAAAAAAATTGTACTCTCTTCAAGCTCAAACAATACAGAGACATGACATCCCACGACGGTATTCTCAAGATAATTAAGTAAATTCGAATGCTGTTAATTATTTTAAAGGATTCTATCCGTTTGAAAATGGTAATCCCGAGGGAAATTTTGAATGAATTTTTTTCTTCGAGATTAAAAGCAAAAGATATGGCGTGCACTCAACGCACAGGTCCTATACAAAATTTTATCGACCGTTTATCATTTTAAGACGACCAGCATTTCTGGATAATTCTATTCCTTGCAGATGTTTAGCAAAAAATTAGCGTGCATTCAACACACAGGCCCGCTAGGAAAGGTTTATAGACAATATCCCATCATTTTTGCAAGAATTGCAATTTGCAAGACACATATTTGTGAATAAATTTTTTTGCAGATTTAAAGCAAAAAAAGGTTTGCCCTCAACACACCGGTCCTCTAGGAAAATATTTTCGACATTTTAGCATGAATTGCACAACCTACATTTCCAAATGAATTTATTTCTTTCAGATTTAAAGCAAAAAATGGAGTGTGCACTCCACACACAGACCCTCTAAGAAAGGTCTACTATTGACATCTTACAATTTCAGTATGAATTGCAAGACCAATATTCCTGGATCCATTTCTTTCTAGCCGAATATTAGGTGTTAGCTCAACACACAGGCCCCCAAGGAAAGGTTCATGGATATTATATCATCATTTCAGCATGAATTGCAAAACGAATATTTTCTGATAAATTTCTTCCTCGCAGATTTTCAAGCCAGAAAATTATAAAAAAAATTGTCTTCTTCTATCAGTTAGTCGACGTGTTAATTACAACCAATGCTGCGTGAACGAGCCACAAATCATTCTAATCGCTCGTTTGAGATTCACTGCGAGGAAAAAAAAGATAAATTGAGGTAATCACCTTCCAAACGCAACGGATCACGAAAATTCATTAATAAGCCAGTGAAACGAGACCGCGTCAGTCATAAGTAATCTCGTGCAATTTGCTGTATGAAGTGAGGCCAAAAGTTTCTATGGAAATACTGTATAAAATCTTTCAAGACATGCGTTCGTTCTCAAGCAAAACTTGAACTTGTAATCTTGAGCAAAAATTCTCCTAAACACACATACGCAAAACGGATTCTTATACCTATGCTATAGAACGCGTCGTCACACAATTGCTGAATGATATAATGTTGAACTTCTCCTCCGAACGTCATGGATAACACGTAGTCGCACTTGTCGGAAACGTCACCCACTGTGCAAAAATCCCGCACCAGGAATCGTCCATCTTGCGGCTTTTCCTCTGCATAAAAAAAAAAAAGCTTAGGAGCAATCCAGAATCATGTCAAACTCCAGCGCAATTAACACGTTCCCCAAAAATAAAACACGCATCTCATCGAGAAAATGTTGATAAAAAACACGAAACAATATTTACGAAAAACGTTCAATAAACTGAACTGGGATATTCAGGTCCGATTCCCAAATCACGAAGACATTGAACGCCGAGGTGTTGAAATTTGAATTGCTTTTGAAATTTCTGCAGAACTGTCATCGACGCGAGCTAAATTTAAATAATTTTTCGAAATGTAATACAGAACACGAAAGGGGAAATCTCTCCAGAATGATTTTTTGGATAGCAATATTCTCCATGCAACGGCATTTATTTCTGGTTCCAGCAAACCTCTTTATCAACAGATGGACTGCTTCTCTACAGTAATATTTTCTCAACAACGCCCAAATTACTTATCCCTTGAATTTTTTAAATTGCCTAATTTCCCAATGACGAATTAGCGTCACATTACTTGACTTGACGTGAAATTCAGGAAAGGAATAGACAGATCATACTTTAAAGAAACCCTGCAGGTAACGAAATACCGTCGATTGCGTAGAACAGATGAAAAAATGTGACAAAATGACTTCGCTTCATTCAACACTGACAGAAATGAACAAAATCAGGAAATAAAATACGACACTTGTACGATATGAATAATATCGACTGACCACCGAACTTCAACCGATCTTCCGCCACATCCCGCGAAATTCTTCCATGATACCAGCAACAGTCCTGATCTTCTCGGCTGTCCCTTCTGCTTGGCGGCTTTGCCATCCTACCAAGCGCGAAACTTCAACATGCGTGAAATGACAACTGAATCCCGCCGACGAGCCTAGAAAACCGATCATGAATTGACGAAAAGATGCAGATTTATTTTTTGGAAGAATAAAAAATGAAGCGATTGCCGACGAACGAGGGGCATTCAATAACCATGGTATGTTTTCCGCTCTTCAAAATTGTACGCCACTTATTCACAGAGCGCAAGTATGACTTCAATAACAGAAAAGAGAACAGAATAAATAAATGGTTTTCCGACATTACGAAAAGACTTGAATGCCCATCGCGGGAATCGAAACAAAAGAAACACAAATTCATCATCAGAGAAGATATTTATCCACTCAAGTCTCCGTAACACAGGGAAACATTCACCACCGACCAGAATACGACACACGCATTGCAAAAACCTAGAAGCGATGCCACACAAAAAAAAAAAACGGAGATTAAATCATTCCGCGACGAAGATTCTACGCACAAGCATTTCTTTTAGCTTCATTCGATTTCACATTATTTGCTTGGTTTCTTTTGCATCACTTGGGTCCAAGCATTTCTTCAGGCTTGACCCACTGCTTGAACTGTTCTTCGGTAAGGTGTCCTAGGGCAATAGCGGATTCTTTCAGCGTGGTACCTTCCTTGTGCGCCTTCTTTGCAATAGCTGCGGCTTTGTCGTAGCCGATATGGGGATTCAGAGCTGTGACCAGCATCAGGCTGTCGTGGAGAAGTTTGTCAATGCGGTCCTTGTTGGCCTTGATGCCAACGACGCAATGCTGAGAAGCAAAATAAATATAATGAGTTTCTTTTTGTTGTTTGCTGAACCTTTAGTAACCCGAAGAAACTTATTTGTTCATGTTATAATTGCCGTTATGGTACGCATGGAAAAAAAATTTTAACTCTCGTCTTTCTCCTCGCAGTACAGCGGGCATACTTTTTCTTTACATTCTGCATCATAAGTGATCAGAAAAGGATATTTTGAAAAATAATGATTAGTTCACAGAAAAAATAGAAAATTAATTTTATTTGGTTCCAAACTGAGCCAAAAATTAAATTCCAACATATTTTATTTCAAAAATGCTACAAATTTTTTATTAAAAATGGCGTGCATCTCTTTCGCGTACAAGCTTTATTGACATTTTAGTACGAAAAAAGTAAGGTGCGCGTTTTAGTCAAAGGGATGTGGTACTAACGCAAATACGGTTCATCAATCATCTTTCATTTTAGTGGACAAGAAAAAGCCGGACGAGAAGGAGGGAATTCGAACACATTTAAAAATGAAAGAGACTCGTCCCCCATTCAAAAAGAATCACAAATATGGCATATTGAATATGGTACATTATCATTCATTTTAGTGGACAAGGCAAAAAATGAAGGAATTAAAACAGAGTTACACATATAAAATTAAAAAGAACCTGGCCCTTCGATATTTATTAGGAATCCCCATGAAGCCATCGAAGCCTGAATATTTTCCAAGGAAAAATACGTAATAAACTCTCGGATAACAGTATGAGTTCCAAAGAATTTTCAAGGTAAAATTTTTCTACAATTACGGACGCACAAAAACATGAACGTTTCCAGGGAAAATGAACTAGTAAAGGAGGCAGTACAGAAGGATTTCGAAAAGGATAGAGAGCTATACAGTTATTTTTCCAGATACAGTATACGGTTTGACGAACGACCAAAAAATACTGGGATACAGCATTTCAGTCAGTTCTCATCGAAAACGTACCGGTACTAAATTCACAATTAATGCGAGAGTAGAAAGTGGACAGTTCGAATGTTATAAAACAAATTCTAGCCTCGGGACAAAATGCGAAAAATATGGAACAGAACGATCCAATGTTCGAGACCACATACCACGACAAAGCTTTGGCAGCTGTCGCCAATCAGCTCGATAGAACGCAACACATTTGCTACGATGACGGGCTTGAAAACGTTCAACTCGAAATGTCCATTACTGCCACCGACCGTTACAGCAACATTATTGCCCATAACCTGTAAAAAAAAAAAAGAAGTTATCGCAAAATGAACGACGACTTCGCAAAATGGAATTTCAAACAAGTTTCTCGGAAACACTTCGAACAAAAATCATGCAATTAAATTAATAAAAACATAAACTAAATATCCTAGCCGCACACTTCGAATAAATCGAGAAAAACACAAATACATCTAGAACATAGGTAAATAATAAAGAACATGAAGTCGCGGAGATAAGTCATTACAGTGACACGAAACCGTCACGAAGATGAAGCATTTGTAGCATAAGAGCCTACCGTTTCAAGATCATGACAAATGATGGCACTAAATCAAGGTTTGACTGTATTAATAATACTAAAAGCAGTGCTGTCCAATATATGGCCCGTGGGCTGGATATGGCCTCAAGAGAATCTTCATCCATCCAACAGTCCATTCCTTATAATTTTCAAGGCGACAGCCGCTATATATTGAAAAATGAATTTCAAAATCGGAAATGTTGCTTCACCCTTCGAAAATTATACAAGGCTATGCTAGGGATTCAATCCATAGACTGAATTAAATCTGGAACTTTCATTCAATCGGTGAACATTTTGAACTTCAACAATCTTTGTCTACTGCGGCCTGCGAAGACTCAGCGATGTGGCCCTCAGTTTCAGAAAAGAAAGTAATAATCCGGCCCTTGACCACATTTGACTCGGCTGACACTCCAACGATAACAGCAATCACAATTCCTCTAGCGACAATGCATTAAAAGCTGTCGCCAGACATCCTACGGGTTCGCTCAACAACGCAGAACCAATATCCTTCACTTTACCAAAAATAACTTTTCCAATCGCGTCAAATATGAACGTCGAAAGTCGCAAACCTGAGCAGCCACCATGGTGATGGCTTCGCACTGCGTCGGATTCACTTTTCCAGGCATGATGCTGCTCCCGGGTTCATTTTCGGGCAAAGACAATTCGCCCAATCCGCACCTCGGTGGGCTTGGGTTCTTTGCTTACAGCAACCGCTAAAAGTAGTCGCTGTGTCGTTAGTGCAAGTTGCGTGGTCTTTGAAGTTGGTAACGCAGCACTGTGCGCTCCCTGAGCTTGAATAAGCCACGTCTGCTGAATGGGAGCTTTGTCAACTCGGCAACTCTTTTCGAAACCTGACACGTGGAAAGAATTTCCAAAGATAAAATCACGTTATTTAATTGAAATACAGTACTCGCGATAAAATGGGGTGTTTTATAAATAAAAATATAAGACGGCGAATGTTGCCACGTCATGCCAACTGCCCCGAATTTAAATAATTCTTCAACCTCGAAAAAAAATACCGAGCAAAATTTGTTTGTAACTGTATCCAGATGTCAACCATCGTTAAAAAAAAACAGAAAAATGCTGATGAAGTAAGAAGACCGATGTGATGAAAGAATCAATCAATCTGGGACTACGTTAAACTCTTCGATATTGGAGCCGCGGAATGGTAGAATTACCCATGATCCATAACACAGTGTACTGGTTTCGCAAAATAGGTTTCCCCGCAAAACTATTTTTTTGGGGGATAACATGAAGGATATTGAAATTTGTTTTCACAAAACTAAATTTTTTGCCACAAAGAATATGCAAATTTAAGAAGTTCTGAATTAAAAATCGAGATTTTTTAAAATCAAGGAAGCATAGTTGAACATCTTATCTTCACAAATCGATGAATTCAGGAAAAGAGTTGTCAGTATTACTTCTTTTACATGCTAACCATATGAACTTAACGATTTTCTTCTTTAAAATACTGTACATAATTTTATTTTCCTCACAATCGTCTTTTACTGAGTGGCTGGAAAAAATTATAACAATTACAACGTAATTTCCAGAAAAAATGCGTTTCACACAACGAAAATTCGACGCAACAAAACTCATCCAAAATGGGATTACTTTCGTAACGTGGGGACTCATTGACCATTAAACTGCGGCTAACATGGTAGAACTTGCCAAATCGCGTGACAACACCTTTTCATATTCAAAGCCGTATGAAAATTTGCTGGTCTGTCCGGAATTAAATTCACAATGGATTTATGTAAATATTCAATTTCTTGCAAACCTTTTCGGCGAAACCGATGCGTGTATTCAACCCGGTTCCTACGGCAGTTCCTCCAATGCCAAGCATGTAAAGTCGCGGAAGCGTGGCTTCCACCCGTTGAATGCCAAATTCGATTTGCTGAGCATAGCCGCTGAATTCTTGTCCCAGGGTCAAAGGAGTCGCATCTTGCGTGTGAGTACGACCAATCTTGATGATGTCCTTGAATTCTTTTGACTTGTCTAGTAAAGCCTTGTGCAAAGCTTTCAACTGCAAGAGAAAACAGCATGAATAACGTTCATAAATTTCCTCGGAAATGAACTACAAGACACAATGCTCAAGAATGTCGACTCCGAAGAAAATCTTGCAGTAAGTTATGTCACCTCATATCTTGAACAACATAAAGAAACTCGTGCACTATACTGTTACAGCAGCAAATACGTTTTAATATTGAAGGAATAAAAGAAAGTAGAAAATCGTCCTTCCAACATCCCTCGATGAACTGAAAATTGTATAAGAATCAGATACAGAAATCTAAATATTCTTACACTTGGTTTCTATAAGAACACGAAATTTCTACCTTTTTACAGTTCTTAGTTATTAATGCAAGAAGAACTTCTCAACGCAATTACAGCTGTACTTCGTTAAACTACCCACGTATCTTGAAAAAAGGATTGAAAAAAAATTAGCAAATTTTTATGAACACGTCATTGCCACCACCCAACAATTTTTTTGAAAACAAAAACTGAACATTTAGAAATGACAAATTTCTCACGAGATTCAAGAAACATAATACAGTATTATGCTGTAGAACAAAATTATAATTTCAAAACTATCGTGTCAATAAAGCATACTGTGAAAAGAATAGGAACCTTCGGTCAACCCGTCCTTTATAAGGGAAGGTTAGTATGTCGCAGAACTTTTAAAAATAAACTATAGTCTTCTTTTATCTTTCAGGAACATTGTAGTACTACTTTTCAAGCCTAAAAAAAGGTTGAAAGTTGCATTCATATTGGACTCCACATTGGGACAACCTTTAAACATATTGCATCGTCAATAAATATCCAAGGATTTGCGCATATACCGTATGTGTACAGTAAACTGTATTATAAATTGAATACATTGTATATACAGGTACATACAGTACAGTATATATACAGTATATACAGTACTATTTACAATTCGAGGAACAGAAGAAAAAGCGGCAAACAATACCTATCACATGGGCAAAGATCCTCAAGGGGCCAGGGGTATCAAACAAAAATTCGCAATAAAATACTGTACAGAGAAAAGTACAGCTGCAGTGACAATTGAGCTCATAGACGGTCTCAAAAGACTTACATAAAAAAATCTGCAATAGGTGCATTCTCACATCTCTGCAAAAAAGTTTTCGAGAGACTCAATTTGAAAATTTTTAACGTTGAGGAGTGTTGATCAAACGTGTTGTTACTACGCGACATCGTCGGATCAGTACAACATAAATTATTTTGTTTGGACTTTCATGCGTAACTATGAACATATACTGTACATATACAAAAAGAAAAGAAAAAACTGAAAGAAATAACTCACTCCAGGGAGAAGCACATCGCGGATTTCCACAGCCACAGCAATGTGCATCGCAGTCGGGAACGTGTCATTGGAACTTTGACTCTTGTTAACGTGGTCGTTCGGATGAACCGGATTCTTTGATCCCAATTCTCCACCCATCATTTGGATGGCTCGGTTTGAGATCACCTATACAGTATTAAAATTCTACATTACATATTTTATAGTCACCAGACAAGGCAACCAAATTCCAAAAGGAATGATGAAAACGAAGGCTGTCGCGAGCAGTCACGAGATCCGCAACCGAATACAGCACCATAATTTTATATTATCTGTACCGTGCTCTTCACATCGCAAAATCTATGCGTACCAAAATCGCATTTTAACGGAGCACTCAACAATTTATATTCAATTTCATGTTTATCCTGCATCTGTATGTAGGAGCATTGCCACATTTGGACAAGAAATTGATGCAAAATTTATTTTCAATAATAAATGGAGATGTAATTTTCTCGGTCCGTTCAAGAAATTACTCCAGAAAATCTTGAGAATACTCGACATCAATCTGTTTCCATCAAGAACTTTTACAGCACATTCTGAGGTGAATCATTCAACATTTAAAACGGCAAGAACTTGGAATTATCTACTAATGTCTTGATGAAAGAAATGACGAGAACTGGCAAACCTTCTTCGACATCAAAATAAAAGTAATTCAAAAGAACTTCGGACCAGACTAACCTCGTTGCAATTCATATTCGACTGAGTTCCACTCCCAGTTTGCCAGATGACGAGCGGGAAATGATCTTCATACAATTTTCCACTGATGAGCTCAAACAGTTGGATTTGTACCTGCATAGAGAATAAAATCGGACCGGTGGTAAGGCTGACGATAGCATACCTCACCCGCAGCACAGCAGAGCTGTTGGAGAATTGGAGTGTACAAGGGCTAGGCGCGCGTGAAAGGGAGTATGCACTGTTTATTGTAGATGGAGCTAGTAGTCTGGGTCCCCCCAACTAGGATAGCTCCGGTGTCTCTCCACACGCTACAGGAGTTCACTACAATAAAGTTCAAGAGGCCAGAAAAAATTCGTCGTGGAGAGTTTTCTGGTCACAACGAAATTCAAGTGAACAGAGAAAATATGGTCGTGGGTAGAGTTTCACTGTACAGTAGAGAACTAATACAACACGTGGAAAGAAGCCTACAACACTCGGAAAAAATTCTTTACACAGATAATTTCGACGAGAAGTGCTTTTAATCCGTGAGAATCAAGCAGAACCTGCGATGATGGGCGTGCTTCGATTAATCCAAATACGTACAGGTGGACTCTTTCTACAACAAAATTCACGGGACCAGAAAATAATTCGTAGTGGAGAGAGTTTCGTTGCAGGGAGTCCACATGAATTTAGATTAATCGAAGCAGGCCCATCATCACAAGTTCTGCTGGATTCACTCGCAGTAAAAACACTTCTCATCTAAATAAAAAGTACGTAAAAGAATAAGTACTGTACTGGACTCACCGCATGGTTTGCGCTCCGTACAACTTATCCGCGGGCACTTCCAATTCTCCGAACGTATCCCGCTCCTTGCGCACACCCGTAGCCATCTTCATCGACGCCGAAGTCACAACTGAACGAGTCGCTGTCGGGCACATCAGTCCGCTACCAGCGGCATGCCGGGGTTTCGCGGTTGCCAACAGCACTCGCCGGGTAGCCAACCAGCTCAGTGTCCTCATCTCCACAGTACAGCCAAAAAACGGAACGAAGTCGCAAGAAACAAAAGCGATATTTGCTCAATCACGACGCGAAACCTGATCGCGAAATGATTTACAACCTGAAGCGAAAGAAATGACGATAACGTTAACGTCGAGAATTTTGTCGAGCAACCGATCGGAAACCGACTTAATTTTTGTTCTGAATAATTAATAAGTGTCATGACAGAAGCACCCAGTAGAAAATCAACAATGCAAAATTCACCCAAGAGACCATTAAAAAATTTTGAGTTGAGGAAACCAAGCATTTGTGTTGGGGAAAGAAAAAAGAATTACAGGAAATTGTAATTGGTGATATTCTAGGTCCTACATTGCTTTTGAATAAGTTGACAGGATACTGAACAAGAAGATAAGGATTCATTCGCCCGATCAGTTTATCATTTATTGCATTTTTAAAACACATGAAGTTGCATTTTCATCGCTTTCCCGTAAATAGAAAAATAGTCGAAAGGCCTCCAGGAAATTCGAGTCATGGAGCCTTGAGGAGGAAGGCCCTCGAGTTCAGGAGGTTTTTTACATGGTTATATTTGTTGAAATTCAGACACGGACTTGATATGGATATTTTGACGAATTGTTCGAATTATCCAGGTTCAACTAAATTTTGGAAAAAAACCTTCAATTTTGATGATTTCCAATACAGGCGGACTGCCCAGAACAACGCTTCATGAAGCTGAATCACTGTGGAGCGAATTTAAATTACAAAACCTCCGAATTCATGAATATAGGAAGAATATATACTGCATATTTGTACAGTATCCAGAAACATGCCTGTGCTTCACAAGCGATTCTTTCAAAGAGACGATTATCTGTACCTCACTCGATTTTCAAAGGACGCATAGTGAACAACTTATTTACTTTCAGGAATATTTTCCACAGGGCGCTTTTCTTCCGTGACGAACTTGAGAAAAACTGCCGCTCAAATAAGATCCATATAATTCACTATGATTAATTGAACCTGCATTGCGAAAGCACCCACCAAAAATGCAACGCAAAGCAGTGAACCGAGTTCTCCCTTACCAAGGTTCTCGAATTTCAATGAACGAATTTCACAACCACACCGAAAATTCAGTTGCGATATTCTAGCGTCAAGGTTGCCAGAGTATTTCACGGCGGTCAACTTTTCACCAGTAACGGAACGACTTTGAAAATATTGAAATAACGAAAAACCGAACTATCTAGTCCAGACATTCACCATCGCTTAGCCCAGATTAAATTCGTTTCTGAAAAAGCATAAATAAATACAGCTTCGACATTCTTTGGAAGGATAAGGTCCGCAATATTCCTTGCGTAATGCCCAAGTTTTCAACAACATTTTCGGTGTTCACTTCAACGGTACATGTACGAGAATACAGTAGACTTGGAGCCTCAATGAATTGACACTAGCAGTGAATCAACCTTTTTGATCAGTCCATAAACAGCCCACGGGCTCTACAGCCTGACATTCGAGTGCACCTCGCTTGAATTTAATCAATGAAAATTCCGAACTCAAAAACAAAAAAAAAGCCACCAGAAAATCATACCAACAGGACACCACCGATTCCACGGGGAGACACCGAAAGCTCGCGGGCGAAAAATACCTTCCGTAAAACCAACAATAATAATCATTCCCATATTCACACACGTGTAGAGATCTTGTGTAGCACCCGCATTTGCCACTCTATAGTTTGAATTCATACACATGAATTTCTTGCGGATTAACAGCTGGTTCTTAAAAATAACAATAATGGAATGAGATGGTTGGGAATCCTTGACTGGTTCCGCCAACGACGGAATACTCAGGAAGATGCGATCATTTGACTTTCTCAACTTTGGCACGGTCCTCAACATCGATTGAAGCAAGGGTTCGAGCAGCTGCAAGTCCTTGAAGAACAGCGAGGACCAGCTTCATAATTGCGACCGGAAGCAGAAGGAATATGAAGACTGGAATCACGCCTCCCGGGAAAATCCCTGAAAGATAATTTTTGAATTACAGCATTTACATACGAGTTTGAAGAATCGCCATCGCTGATCCGTTTCTGAGGTCAAGATGTGCTCCTCCATCATATTCAGTGTTCATTGAAAAATAATACAATTGGATACAAAATGTATCTGTCAAGACTGACACTCACGGGAACCAGGTCATGTCGGTTTACTGAAAATATCTTTATTGTTGCTTGAATAATATCAATTGATCTACAGGGATCACGAAAAGAGAATTCCCCGGACAATAGCATCACGGGAGAAAAGACACTAGGGATTATGTATTCGACTTGGTTTATGTGGTAAACCTTTTCATTTCTAGCGCACTTCGCAAATTAAACCATAGTCAATCTTGAAAGGCGTAATGCAAGAAAAAATCTTAGCATTTTTTGTGCAACCAATTTCCTCATTATTCAAGGCTATATATGGTAATACATTCGTATTTTCAAAACAAATTTGTCCAGAGGCTGACGATTTCAGGGCTAGTTTTGTTCGCAAGAGCTTAGGATAGAAAGTTTGAAAATTCACTGGTTATTTTCTATTCGTAGAAGAGATTTTTATGAAACACGGCAGTATCCTCAGAAATCTCGAAGACTCGATACTGAAAAAATATGCGTTATATACTATACCAGGAGGAAAGAAATTTTTAAAAATTTGACACTTTTCATAAAAAATTACTTATCCGACAGATACAGTATCATTTATAACAACCGTCGTAACTGATTTGCCTTCTAATAGAAGGTCCCCTGCATTCATGAATAATGTCAAGAAGGATGAACTGAGTCTCAACAATGAAGATTGTGGCAGAGTTTCCAACTATCTCATTGAAGAAAATTCATTTTCTCACAGTACAGTATTGCTAAATGTACATTCAATGTTTAATTAGAAAAAAAAAACAAAGACGGCTCGCTTCCTAAGTGGATGAAAAATTGGCAACATTTCGCAAATCTACTCACATGATGGACCCGACGTGAAATGGTATGCATAGCACAACATGTAAAACGTCTCGTTCCCAGCACACATGAAGAACAATACCGTCTTGTTGGTGTAATACAACTTCAGCAGAGGATTCTCGTTGGAGTCCGAGTCTTTATGAGAAGATCTGCCTTTCATTACGGTACTGAAAACCAACAGATGGTGCAAATAAAGTTATAAGTCGAGTTTAATCGTAATCACAGCGCTTCTCAAGGAATAACAAGTTTCAAGTGACAAAAATTAGACGCAATGAAACGAATCGGCCACGTGTGCTTTCCTGTACTTTTTTTCTACGTTTTCCTGTCACCAACACTTTACATCTGCTGAATGATCAACGCGTAGCAAAAATTCAGTTGATTATGCTGAACATGGGTTCAGAAGCAAAACTTGATGGAAAATGAAGCAACGAAAAAAAAAAGGAACGACGCGAGTAAATCCACAAAATTTTCAAGGAAAACTCTTGGAACAAACAGTTGGCAGTAATTACAACTTGAAAATTACGCACAAAAATATGCTCCTTGTTAGTAAGGGTTTTGAAAATTTGTGACAGATGAAAGAACTAACGCATGAACTAAAAAAATATTTTCAAAAATGTAAGCGGTACGCACGCGTGTAGATGAATCCAATGGCAAGATATATCAATGACAGCCGCTATCTGGAAAAATATTGTTTGACCAGGGTAGAAATTGGCCAGGCATATCAAGAGCGTCAAGGTAGCACACCTATCGACCAACTGATCCAACATCGCACCGAACTTCGTCGCTGCAGGTAAAAACCAGTTGTTGAAACGAATCAATGAAAAATGGTCGGTATTCAGTCCTCGGCTGTCGGGTTACTAGACATACATTGGTTTAGCGCCCTCGCAGCGTGACCATCCGCGGCATCCAGAATCGCACTCACGAAGTATAGGAACAACGTGACTGTGTGAGTATATCGCATAGTCAGGCATGCAAGAAGACTGGCGCCAATTCGTGCATAGCCTACGACAAAATGTTCCGGGTAAGAAACCATTTCAAATCGTTCCATTTCTGACGGAGTACTTGCCGATCAAATTGGGAATGAACAAGAAGACGTTATCCGTCTTGAGGAGCTCTTCCATTTCCGAACTTCCACCGAAGTGTTCAATCAATTAACCTAAGAATATCGCGAAAGAATTGGCATGAGACACGGTCATATATGGTATCGGTAATCACAGCGACGAAATGTAGCTTAGCACAACAGCGCAATTAAATGTTATCGCCGAGAGAACGAAGAACCAAATCGCGCAAGTGACTTGGGGTACGATTCTGACAGGAGCATGTGTACACAACATTGCAGACGACGGGCATCGTCGATTTCACAAATCAAAATTTTCGAAGATTTTGTGGATTCACAGCGAATTCAGTTTCAATTTTAGATTCGAATGGTCTTCATCACAAATTTCCCGATTACCATGAACTTCGTGAACGAGGAATCGGGAGCCAACTGTAAAGCCGAAATTGTGCATCACCAAGTTCGGGATCTACTGCTTTCTGCTCTTCCGAATTTTCCTCATAGTGACAGTGGCCCATATTAAAAATGGCTGCGGTTCTGGTCGCAACATTGCTACGGCGGTAGTGCGTACTCGGGCGAAATTCGGGGAGTATTCTCAGCTTTTTGGCGTCGTGTTTCTCTTGCAAAGTGCAATTGGAAGGATCCCTGACAACGAATATTGGTTTTTATTGTAAAATAAAAGTAAATTGTCGGGTTAAGACGGCCGTGTTTATCGGAGGAATTTCGGAAGTCCAATGATGTGTCGAGGAAGCCGTGCAATACATATACGCGCATCCTCGTCTTGCAAGCTCGACCAAAAAGAAGCGACAAGTGAACTACGGGATTTCCCTTTGATATCGTGTGAACATGTTTTTGTGACCCCCTTTTGTTTAATCGTACGAAGAGTTGTGTATCTTTAATGTTAACAAGTGCTCTACTTACAGTGCGTAAAAGATGGAGCGGCCGCCAGCCGATTTCATCGACATACGTTCATCGTCATTTTTCGATTCTTTGGCGGATCTCGATTCGACGTCCATTGAAGACTTCTGCATCGATTCGAACCTAATGACGTCGACTGTAGAGTCTCGTGTTCCGGAGGTTAAACCCCTCAACAGTGCTGGTCATTCGCATGCTTCGTCGGAAACATCACAAGCAGGAGCAACGCAACCTTCTGTCAGAGCAGCTGGCCCGTTTATGGTTTCCTTGGAATCGAAGCAGTCCAGTTTCTCGTCGGCAGTGTCACCACGAAGAAAAGCAGTCGTCGTTGGTCCCGTAAGAACAATCGTAACGCTTATGTGGGCTTCGTATCATGATGTTCATGTTATTTTTTCAGACTCACGCAAATGCGAAGATGATCAGGATTAGTTCTGATGCCCTTACAAGAACTACTCCGGTATCTGGAAGTATGGTTACGCTGAATAATGCTAAGTTCATTGCCGTCCCACTTGCATCCTCTTCAGCTAATCCCGGTAATGTTTCCACGGATGCTGGCACAAGGCCACAGTTGGTGAAAAGATTCATCCCATCTGTGACAAACTTGGGAAACGGGAAAGTATGTCACCAGTATGACCTTCGTTACGATACGAACATTTGTTATAGTAATATTTTCATTACTTTCCCAAGATCTTGAAGTTCATCGTTGCTCCCAGGCCGAAACCGCAGAGTCAAGCACCGTCACCTGTTGTCGTCCCCGTTCCAGCTAATGTCGTGGTTAGTACTGCAGTTTACGTGAAACCGCCGCAAAAGGAAATTTGTAGTGGACATCGAATGATCTGTTTTCGTGCAGTTATCGTCCTCCGCGAATGCTGAAAAGGCGTTATAAATTATATCGTTCCATGATAGCGTTACGAATGTGTTCTGAAATGTCAAAGGAAATCCGTGTGAGTTGCTAAGCCGTAAGCGCAATTTATCTGGGAAAGGATATATTTGAATGGAAACATAGATTACATAAATGGATTTTTCGTGTCCTTCAGTTGCTGAAAAACCTACGTGGTGAAGAAATCTGTGTAAACGCAGATTTTCGCTGCACAGAGAAGCTTTTTCTGTAATTTTGCGTCCAGTTAGTGCGTTGAAGAGTGGTCTGCGCCACAAACAGATTTTTCTTGTTCCATTAAATCTTGTATTTCTATTTATTAATTCAGCAAGGACCTAGGCTCATTCGTCCGACATCCGTCATACCCATCAGTTTTGCATCTGACTCAACTTCTGGATCGATACAGTCAAAGACGTCAAGCGGTTGCCAGATCCTTCAAGTGAAGAAACCACTGTTGGTTACCACTGTGAGTACTGTAGTTTGAAAATACAGTGCAATACTTTTATATTTTCTAGTAGTTAAACTCGATTTGAACAATCTATTATAATTTTTAAAGGTATGAGATGCGAAGGGTTGAGATCAATGTCAACCGTTGATTCAAATGCGTTTTTTTTAAAGTCCTGACTCCAAATTTCAATTATTGTAATTGTAGGGTCTTCCAACATCGTCCGTTGCTTCGAGAATTGAAGTTCCGGGTGGAGTGAGGATGGCTGCCCAGAAGTCGAACGTGAATCATTACATCGAAATCAATGGAAAACTGACACCGATTCAGATTTCAGTCCCGTCATCCTCGATTTCAACTGTTCCAATAAGAAAACCGCCCGCTTCTCCTCAGCGACAATTGAAACTATCTCCAACTTCAATACCAACGTCGAAGCTCACGGCTTCCGAAACTGCTCTTCTCGACCACAATTTCACGTTCAAAACCCTGGTGAAAAAGCACTTGAAACCCCGCTCACCCTCGAGGCAGGATGAAAAGAATGAAATAGATGTTGTTGACGAGCTAGAAAACGGAGAAATTGGAATTTTGGATCAAAAGAACGATTTGAAGAGAAAGAAAATGGATTTGTTGAGACGAGAAACAGACGAGAAGCCGGAAATCGTGGCGGAACTTAATGACAAACGCGACGCCAAAAAGTCGAAGCTCGTCCGGAAAGTGGCCGAACGTAAACGGAAAACGTGCAACTGCGCCAAGTCAATGTGTTTGAAGTTGTACTGCGACTGCTTTGCATCTGGGGAATTTTGCGATGGTTGCAATTGCGTGAATTGCTTCAACAACCTGGATCACGAAGAAGAACGTCAGCGGGTTGTTGCGCTTATGTTGGAGCGGAACCCGAGTGCGTTTCGTCCGAAAATCGGTGCCGTTGACGATGGGAAAAGGCACAATCGAGGCTGCAACTGCAAGAGGACCTATTGCATTAAGAACTACTGTGAATGCTTTGAGGTTAGTCTTGAATTGCCTTTTTCTAAATTATTCTTCGATCCATTATTGAGACACAAATTGTCCGTTTCATTGTTCTAAAAGTGAAGTTCTCAATAAGTCGAAATAGGGCCCCTTTATTGGAAATGACGCTACGGTGCAGTACTGTACTTGATGAAATTTTGTTATAGTCTTTAACTTGAGTTGAGTTAAATTTGTGGAATGCTGAGAAAGTAGATGTAAATGTTTATATTGTATCCCAATCGCAGTCCTAATGAATCTTTCTTCATGTGTGTGTGTTCGAAATTTTATGCAATACTCCTGTATCATTCTGATCTAATTTTGTTCCTCGATCGTGGAAGTTCTGGGAGTGAAAACCAATAGTTCAGTTTTTCTCTTAGGCTGTGCTGTGCATCACATTATTATTTTTTTTTTTAGCATGTAATCCTCAATATCCGGCTAATGACTGGAATCCTCGCTCGTAAAATCAAGTATTGTATGACTATCATCTTTTCGAAATTTAAGGTAATTTAAGCTGTTGAAGCAAATTTTAGGCTGCGTCTTGTATCCAAGAATTACATTACATCTGGATTCTAACGATCTTTGAAATGCTTGAGCATGGATGATTCATTGTATCATTCGAGGAAGTGAAATAACTCGAGTACTGTACACGAACGTCTTCGCATCCTCTTAGTGATTGAAAATGTGCTCATGTTTGACTGAAGCCTAAATATTTCATGTTCTACTCTTGAAAATTTATATGCTAGTTGGTCCGAGCTTGTCCGCCTGATCTTTCAGGTTACAGTTAACTTTGGAACTACTTCGCCACGAACATGTCAACCGGACTGGTCTAAATTTAATCCAAATAATACGGATTGTTCAACTCCGATTGTCCCTGATTTCGTGGTTTTCTTTGCTATAAAATAGATGTCGCGTGAAAATGTCATGAACTTCATGATTCTAAATAAGTTTCGGTCGTGTTCTTCGGAGCTACGTCTGGTTCAGTTGATTTTCATTGGGTACAGGGCTTTCCACGAATACTGGGGGACCATGTTGTTGTGACCCTTTGGAAGCAAAATGCAAATGAAAAAACGGGTTCTGTGATTTTTATCTCACTTCTGAGTAAAGCTAACTATAACTGCCTCGCGGGAATAGGAAAAATGAAGTCACACCCACAGCTTGTGAATTCCCCATTCGTTATCAAATCGGTACAGCAGTTTCTTGATAAAATCAAGTGATGCTCAGAAGAATCCAACGAAGTTCTAATTTTCGTTTGAAAATTATTCAGATTGTAGAAAATGTAATTCCATTCAACTTAGACTTTGAGGACGAGTCAACGTGTTTGAATCAGAAGTGGTCTCCGTGTTTCTAACTCGATGTATGTTGCCCACGAGTCATGCCTGATTCCTCATTAAAAAAAATCAACTTAACGAAACCGCAATTCAATATCCTTCTATGTGATTTACAGCTTGACGTCCACAAATTGATGATGATTAATACGGAGAACGAAATCCTTAAAAATTGAGTGTTTATTTTACTTTCACCCTGTATAGACGAAAAGAGAACCTTAATCATGATTGATAGTGAGTGTAGTTCTGATTCAGCATGCCCCATCATCCTTATTTCAATGTGACTCATGATTTCTAACTTGTTCAAATAAATCATGACAGGAAGTTAAAATTAAACGTGAGTAAATATCGTATTTACTCGAGTCCCCCGCGCCCTGGAGTAGAACACACATCCGGATTTATCAGCCTAAATTTTCGATAAAATTCTTTCCCGGAATGAGACATTTTTAGTGACTCCAAAGTGGTTTAAAAAAAAACACATTAGTCGTCGAATTTACAATTAAACATGGGTTGCTTGAAACTCAGTCCACCAATTTTTTTCCATTGGTTTTATCATTACAGTAATTATTTTTGTTGTTGAAATCTGTTCGAAATTTCCCTTGAATTCAACGCTTACCTAAAGCTATGCAACTTTTTGAAATTTTTTACTCGCCTGTAACGCGCTACCTTTTTTCCCTCTGAATTTCGATCTGCAATTTTATTCGCCTTCGTCACGATATTTTCTGTACTAGGCGTATTTCAATTCTGAATATTGTAAGAAATGCTTGTACAGTATTGAATTGCAATATCTTGACCTGATACTTTTTCTTGGCTTTGTAAATAAACTCAGACTCTCCGTACAACTATCTTGTCTGCAACAATTTTCTTTTGGACCCATGGGGTTCTCTCCCCATATTATCGTGGGGGTTCTCTGCAACGAAATTCTCTCCAACGACTTTTTCTCCTTGTCCCTTGAATTTCGTTGTAGAGCGAGTCCACCTGAATCTCTAAATTCTACTTTCCTATGGAATGGAAAAAAAAGATCGCTTTGAAGTTGAAAATACGGATAGTGTTTTCTATGGAGTGATCTTCAAGCTGTACAAGTTTTCTCCCCAGCTCCAAAAGCAATTGGATTCAGATTATTATTATTATTTTTTGTTTAAACAAGTAATGGCTGTGTGATTCAATCAGGTGCATGTTGGAAGAAAGTATTAATCACAGTCTTGACTATTCCAGGCCAAAATATTGTGTACTCATCTCTGCCGCTGCAACGGATGCAAGAACCAAGGCGACGAAACGTCACGTCAGGTGCTGGTGAAACTCTGCGACGCTGCCGACCACGAGGCGAAGAAACGACTGCAGAACCGTCCAGTCAACCGTTTCTCTCGTCCGGAAACCAGCGAACCCGCATTCCCGCACACTTTAACCCCGGACACGTTCAGTTTCCACGCGTCACCGGATCTGGACGGAGTGTGGGACTATTTTCGCGGCGAAGTGATTGAAGCCACGTGCATGTGTCTGTTGGGCAAGGCCCGAGAGTGTGTGGAGCAAGGCATGCAGGGTGGCAAGTTGGAGGAGGCTGTGATCAACGAGTGCAAGCTGTGCATTGATCAGATTATCCAGCATGCACAGGGAGAGCAAGTGCACTTTCAGAAGATGCAGCAGGCTGCGGAGAGAGCTGCTGATAAGTTGAAACAGAGTGTACAAATGTATTCTGGTGAACGACGAGGAAAGGGCGTGAGGAGAAAAATTGACGTATAATGAAAAATCGGATTCCTAGAGCGAGTTATAAAATGCATTCGTGTGTTCAGTTTTTCCGGTCTTGAAAAAAAAGAAGAGGAAATAATTGGGAATGGATTCCGCGGAATGTGTCTTTGGATTCACCGAACATGTTTGGGTGCTTTTCACTTGAATGCCCTTAGTCCCTATCTTTGATTGGATTTTTCTCCTCGGTTTCGGGGTTGTGGCTTAAATCCCTTGGCGACGTTAAAGGTACCGTGCGTAAATTTATTTACCGATTTTGCCAGTTCGGTGATTTCGAGTCTGTTTGGGTGGATGAAAGTCATCATTGAATATTTTTCGCACTGTCCATTTTCCATCACCCGTGTAGTCATGTTGAAATGGAGCAAAGACATAACACTTTGTTATGTTTGACCATCACAGTTGGAGAAGGGTTTTTGCGCTTACTTGATTCTAGAGGGAATCGATGAATTGATTTTATGGTGTCACTGAAATATTGAAAGTTTTGATCATTCTGTTTCTTTGAAGTCTCCCATTCCGAAAATCTGTTTTTCTGATCATAAAATTTGGATAAAAAATGTAAAATAAAGTACCATGCGCATCCCATTCGTAGTGCCTGAAAATTGCATTTCTATAATTTTAAATTGGAACACCAGCATTTGACTTTAACTTGAATTGCACCAAAATAGAGTAATGTAGTATTATACTTTGATTTTATACATTTTTCCATATGCAGTTGAACCTCAGTAAATTGAGCACCCCTAATGTAAGTGGTTTCCAATATGTCAAATTTATGCAAGTCATTGTCTGAATTCTTGTGGAAACAATTTATTAAAAACCACCTGAACTCAAAGGCCTTCCTCCTCAAATCTATATCACGCAAATTTTTTAGAGATCTTTTGGGACTTTTTTTTTCATGAGGAAAGAGAAACGCAATAGGAGGTAACCTCATGTATTTAAAAAGGAAGTCAAGACAAATTGAGCAGAAAACTTTGGTTTCCAAGTTCAACCTCTTGTTATCTCACAGATGAAGCATTTTAATGACCAGAACATCACTAATCACAATTTCCTGAAATTCTTCCTTTTCCCGAAAAAAATTCCTTCTTTTCATAACTTTATACTTGCCTAACTTGAATGTTTTTACTTGTCCCATAAATTTTGACTTACAGAGGTTCAACTGTAAAAAAATGTTTGTTGAATCCATCAAAAATATCTGTTCGAAACTTAGAGTATTAAACATCAAAGGTTTTACAAATTTGAGAAATTTCATGCCGAACTATGAAGCAACACCACCTTTCCTTCCTTTGTAGTTCTAGAAGAAAGTTGGCGCATGGTAATTGTGTAAAATTCTGTGCAATTGGGAAATCTGTTCATTGCTGCTAAATATAAAGGTTAACTTGGAATATCAGTTGGCCAGAGATCGTGCTCCAATAAAAGACAATAATAGGAAAGGAATATATGTTTTGTATATGTTCAATTTATCTCTTATCCCGCAGTGGTTTTGAAGATACTGACACGAAGTTTGAGAACACCTTGTTATGGTAAAGACTGAACTTCTTGGCGAACTCATCTGTATCTAACATGGAAAGCTAACCCGGGCATCAAAGTGGAAAGCGCTCACTTTGTTCATGGGTAACCGCCCTATTTCTGGTCAGAATTTGTCCCGTGGAAAAAACATTATTGCACATTGAGTCATTGGTTGATGAAAAAAGAGGATTTTTTTTTCAAAGCAGAATCGTGTTCGGAGTGCTTTTCTTTCGTTGAAAGTTTTGTGTGCAGGCATTGCTGAAAAGTTACGACGAGGAAGAAAGTTCGTGGGTGTTGCTTTCTATGCCGAGTCACGTGACGGAGCTGGTTATAATCGATTTTTCGACGTTTTGTACACTTGATGTGGCGATTGGAATCATATTTTATCAGATTTTCTTCAGACTGCGTTGTTCTGTTTAGCTTTTAGTGGAAATTTCAGAATTTATAATTTTTTCTCTTTGTTTACCTCCAGATTTCTGAATCTTGCTCGTGTTTTCTGCAAACTGTGACGATGGAGAGACACGTTCACTGTGAGAACTGTTACGTGACACCCGAGTTTGGGGTTTTGAATCCGCGAAAGTTTAATCGATGGACAACCGGCGACGGTGATGGGTCAAAGCATGTGGCCTTGTGTGCGTGGGAAGAACGATGCAAGTTCATTCACTGCGAGAATCTGTGCGGATCCGTTTTCCATGGATGCAAACTCGATGAGCACAAGAAATTGTGCTCCATGGAACTTGTGCCTTGCGTCAATGCCGGTGTGTTAGACATTTTCGAGTTCTTATTAAATACTTGGGTTTTCCCAGTTGCACGCGACCTCTGACATTTTTTAATGTCTTCGTGACTTGTGAGTGTAAAAAGAAAAAAAATGTCATATGTCATGATGTTTTAAGATCTGAGGCAGTCTTGTGCAACCCGTGGCCCACAGACCAGCACTGGTCCACAGCAGTTTTTTCATTGCCCATCCAAAGGAAGTTTTCATCAGAATAATAAATTTACCAAAAGTAGTAGGCAAGTCTGTTATGTTTATTTGAAATTTTGGAAGTACGAGGGTTCTAACAAAAGTTCTCGGAGTAGCAATGAAAATGGCCTACAATTGAGCTGAGAAAAATGTATTCTCTAGCCAAAACATATTCTTTGGCACAAAAAAAAATCAGCCCGGTTTGACAATTCTTTTCAATTTTTTTGAAAAATTCATTCATATAGAGTTTTGCTCTCCACTCAAAAAAACACCTTCACAGCCGCCAAAATGGCGGCCAATGTGGCGGCTGTGAAGGCGGCTGTTGATGAAAATGGCGGAATTGCATTGAATGACCTGGAGGCAACCCTTAGAAAGAATGCCAAGTTGATTTCAAAAATTCTGAGGGGAAAGCTGGGCTACAACAAAAAAAGGGCGCCTCATTTTTTGAGTGGAGAGCAAAACTCTATATGAATGAATTTTGCAAAAAAATTGAAAAGAATTGTCAAACCGGGCTGATTTTTTTTTTGTGCCAAAGAATATGTTTTGGCTAGAGAATACATTTTTCTCAGCTCAATTGTAGGCCATTTTCATTGCTACTCCGAGAACTTTTGTTAGAACCCTCGTACAATGGCATTCGAAATTATCTGATGAGAAATGTCAGCTTCTCTCATAATAACACCTGGAAAAATTTTTCACTTGCTGAAATAAATTCAAGTTTTCATTCTAACTTTCTAAGAAACCTCTCTTGAAGCCCAGCTTTCTAATGTTTTGGAAGAGATTGCACTATCCTTGCTTCATTGGTTCTAGACTTGATTTTTGCATGGAAAGTTATGTTGGCAGTATCATCATGCTGTACTGTGTATTGGAAACCTTTTCTCAACTATCTGAAAAAAATCATGGGACATTCAAACGTTGGGGGCAATTCCATGATTTATTTTTCAATCACACCTACTCCAAGAGTATTAGAGGTCGCATCCAACTTGGACAGGCCTTGTACTGTACCTTAGTTACTTCAGTACCATGTGCCCTGAAATAAGGCAAATACCTAAATTCTTGAACTGTAAAAAGGTATCCTCAAGGAAGAAGCGCATCCAATTTTAGAGACTGAAAATGAAAATATTCTGAAGAATAAAATGCATCAGAATTTGAATTTTTACCTGGATTGCCGTCTGAGTGAATTTTAATTTTTCAGCATTACAATTTTTCTACGTAAGTACAAATTGTTTGAAAATTCCGTGTTGGACTCGAGTATGAGGGGCACCGAAGCTTTGAAATTGGAAAAAAGAGTAACCCTGTTCATGACCTGCACCCACTTTTTTCTTGATTTCAAAAAAAAAAAAGGCGCGCGTGGTACTCTAGTGAATATGTTGATCTTTGTTCTTTTAACTAATTCAGCCTGATGTAGTACCTCACCACCATTAGTTCTGAAATCATGCCAAACAGGTGTAGCTCGAATCTCGTCTCTGACCAAAATGATATAATTAAGTGAACCAATCCTTCCAGTCGAACTACGATAATCTGCTGTTTATCAGTGTTAGCATAACACACACCGTAACAAAGTTAGGATGGAATGAGAGTGTTGTAGAACGTAGAACCGTGTTGCAGCGAATATCTTTGTGAAGAATACATTCGTGAAGTGAATTCGGTTCGAGGTCCCTTCCCGGTAGCCAAAATATTGCATGATTTTCTTGGGAATGGATTTTTTGTTATGACGCAGCAGTATCACTGATCCCAATAGCTTCATGGTAGCGAGATATTATTGTACAGTACTTTACAGTAGTACTAAATATGTGCATGAAGCTGGAACACATGGAATATACATCCTGAGCATCCGTGTTGTTATCGCGAACTTGTTCTGTATTCCGTGGAGAATTTTTATTTCGAACGAAGTATTGAGGTACATATTTTGATTTGTCTTCTAAAATTAGTCGAGTGTCGAAGTCATGTACGCAAATACTGAATATATCTTGTCTTACACTTCCCGTTATCCAATCTCAAGGTAGAATGTGTTGAGTTAAATCCGACGCTTGTCCAATTCCTGATCCAAAGTCCGACCTATGAAAGTTCGGAGGGAGAAAGAGAATTTCTGTAAGAAGTGCTTTTGTTATTTGTGATGACGGCTCACCGCTGGATTAGAATTTGATTTAACGTAAATCTGTAAGTGAACATCAGTCTGTCCGCTAAGAAAGATTTTCTCAGGATTTTAATCCCAAGAGCCACCCATGATAATCTTGTTTGTGCATGTGCATTTTTCTTGGGACATATCCCTACTCCATCATTCGGGATATGATGATGTTCCCGTGGTATTTGTGAATTTCAATGGCCATACCACGTTGAAAGTACCCATCCTCGTTCGATCACGGCAGTTAAGAAACGTTGAGCCTGGTTAGTACTTGGATGGTAGACCGCCTGGGAACACCGGTATAGCAGGCAGGGCATACTCCCCAGGTACAGCGTACTCCAGAGTACACCCTATCTAGACAGGGTGTACTTGAGGAGTACACTGTGCCTGACACAGAGGTCCTGGCACAGTATAGTCCATCAGGTAGGGCATACTCCCCCCAGAATTCCCAGTTGCAGTGTTACCCACCAGTGGGGTTGTTTTCAAGCAGTGGGGGTGTTTTCAAGTTTAGTTGAGGTTTCTGCCACCAGTGGGGGTGTTTCCCACCAGTGGGGGTGTTTCATGGATTTGAGTTTCATGTCAAGTACCATCATGCAGGAATCACTGATATTCCCAGGAAAGCTTCCAGTTTTTTTTTTCAATGATGGAAGGTGTATTGCAAAAAAGTATTCCTTTGCAAAGTGAATTCAAACATAGAATATTCAATGTCACCCTGGTTTGTTTTTTATTTGTGCGCAGGGATGTGTTTCTCAGTTATAACCCAATTTTATCCCTTGGAAAATGCCTGAATTTTCTTGATTTTGGCCCATTTTGAAACATGACAATGGTTTTTTTGCCACTTGGTGATTTTGCACAAGATTGGGTCTTCCCTTTAGAAAGTAATGAAGAGAAATTTGTGGTGCTTTACAAGGGTGGTACTGATTCAGGGGTTCTTTGACTGGTATGTTTTTACAAATATTGCCCACAAATTCTGAAATCGAATTGTTCCAAAACTCGTCAATCCATTTTAAGCCCAGAGAATTATTCAAAGAATGGCTGCGTTATAATATGGCTCAGCTGTACTTACATATTTATTTGGAAATATTACCATACTTCCAGCCAGACATGACTGGGAGAATTATAATACTGGGCCATACAGACCTGTGCGAATGTCGTTATTGTGCTCTTTGTCATCTTGCTTGATCAGTATATTGTATACTATCACAGCAGCCATTCATAAAAATAATGAAGCAGTAGAATCAGAAATTATTTGTTGATGACGTGATAGTGATACTGATGGGAAATTCGGTACTGTATAATTGTTTATCACAGTTCAAAACACAATAAATCAACATTGGCCGCGCATCTATTGTGTGCAAGCGAAAGGAGAGTGGTTGGCTGGAATTTACACTGATGTAATCCGAATTGCGCGAAGATACGAAAAGAATCGAACATGCGAAGGTTTCCTGGGAGATAACCCTACCTAGAAAAGAGTATATTCATCACTCAGAAAAATAGATACAGTGACTGCAGTGAACTATTCTATTTCATTGCGAAAGACTGTGAAGAATTTTTTTTCCAAATTCTTGTTCTCTTAGTGAAATCTAATGTCAACGGCCATACCACGTTGAAAACACCCGTTCTCGTTCGATCACGGTAGTTAAGCAACGTTGGGCCCGGTTAGTACTTGGATGGGAGACCGCCTGGGAACACCGGGTGCTGTTGACTTTTTGCTTCCTCAATCGAAATGGAATTAATGCCTAATCTTCCAAGAAAATGCCCTATCATTCATTCTTTTATTTTTTATCGGAATGTGATATCTGTGAGAGAGGAGGATCGGTTTCCTAGCAGAAATTCTTTTTTCCAACGTGGGAACCTCTCCTGAAAGGATGCTTTCTTTAACATTTTTGAAAACGGGAATGAAACGTCCCTTCCAATTGATGTTTGCATTCAGATTTCTTCAAATCGACGAAAAACGGCGGTGTATGTCCTAGATGACTGATTCTTGACTTGCGGGTTGAAATATTATTTTCGAAATACGGTATGTGTCCGACATACTCAGATAGTCAATACTGTACATACATTTTTCGAAATCAACGTTTGATGTGACAAACTTCGGAATATTCCAGTTTTCATGACGTGCAATTACGTTGTCCGTAAGTTTGGGAAGATTCAACAAAGTACCTGAAAAATATCGATTGACAAAAACGAAGTACTGTACTGTACAGTATCGGACTGAATGCCTGTTCCTTCCCCTTCTGTTCGTGTCAACGGCCATACCACGTTGAAAGCACCCGTTCTCGTTCGATCACGGCAGTTAAGCAACGTTGGGCCCGGTTAGTACTTGGATGGGAGACCGCCTGGGAACACCGGGTGCTGTTGACTTTTTCCTCACGCAGAATAAATATATTTCTCCTTCAAGGCTTCAACAAAAATAATTTTTGTTCCTTGCTCTTTCATTCCATTGGACAGTGAGGAAGATGAAGAAGTTCTCAAGAGAAAATAATTTTTTCAAATATGCGGACCTCTCCTGACCAAGGGATCCTTGGACGCGTTTTTTCCCCCGTTTCTGAAGATGAGGAAGAAACTTCTTTCCAATTGTTGGTATTCAGGTTTCTTCAAACCAATGAAAATCCTGTGTTCATGTCAAGCCTTGAGGATGATTCTCAAACGGCATCAAACCTGTTTTCCTCAAATGATCCGTTTAATAAGGGCTGATTTTATTACATACATTTTAATTTCAGGGTCACCCGTAACAGACATAGCAAACTTCCAGTTTCAATGATTTTCAATGGTCCCTTCTATTACCTAAGTCTGTGAAACTGGAAACAGTTGGCATGAATTCAAAATATCAATCAGATCAACTAGGTGCAGTAGTGCTACGAGTGTCTGTTCTTTTCCCGCTATTGGATGTCAACGGCCATACCACGTTGAATCGTGGGCAAGAGCAAGCTAGTGCCGTCAATTCGTTGCAACCCGGGCCAATCATGAACCTACCGAGACCGCCTGGGAACACCGGGTGCTGTTGACTTTTTCCACACACAAGCGGAATGAATGCCTTGTCCCTGCACCAGCAAGTTTTTTTTTCCTTTGCTCTTTTATTCAATTGGAAAGTGAGGAAGATCAAGAAGTTCTCAGCAGAATTCAATTTTTTCCAATATGTGGGACCTCTTATGACCAAGGGATCGGCGGACGCGTTTATTTCCCGTTCTTGAAGAAAAGGAAGAAAATCCAGTGCGATTGTTTGCATTCAAGCCAATGAAAATGCGCGTTTGTTCCC